AAGCCCCGACGCCTTGGGCGCAGGCCCTCCCTCCCTCCCCGCGCCCGGCGGGACCCTGCGCCTGTGTCGGGCGAGGCCGGCGTCCGGCAGATGCACGCGGGGCGGGGGCCGGGGGAGAGGCGGGGAGAGAGAGAACCCACAACAAAACTTGGCGTCGCTGCGCGCACGGCGCGACTTGAATGACAGCCGCCCGCGCCCGCGGAGCGCAGCCGACACCCGGGAGCCTGTTCCGCCCACGGCGCGGCGCGCAGCAGCAGGTAGGAGTGCGGGCGGACGGGTGGGCCGAGGGACCACGGGCCATGGGCCGCGCCCCGGCAGCCCGCTCTGACTTCCCGCAGTGTGCCCACCGCCGCTGCCGGGGACGGTCGCCCCTTCCCGCCCTGTCCCATGGACCCTGCGCAGGAGCACGGTCACACACACACACACACACACACACACACACACACACACACACACACGGCAGGGGGTGGGGGCGACCCCTGCGGGATCGGGAGCAGGGGGTGCTTTTTCTACTCGATGTTCAGAGACTGGTTCCCAGCCTTTGGGCTCCTCCCGCTGCGCACATCTGGAAAGAATCTGCGCGCGGGTGGGGAGGGGAGGTGGAGGCACACGGGCGGGTGACAGGGACTGTGGGGGCAGGTGGAACTGGGAAGGGGTCTGGATCTCTGCACTGAGAACTTGGGCCCAGGGCATCCCGCGACTTTCCACGTCAGTTCAGCAGGGGCTCCACCGAGTCCAACAATGACCTCTTCACAGACAGAAACAAGCACAGGAAGAGATAAAAAAAATCAATCTCTAGGGTGCGTGGACAGGTGAGGCGCACAGACGAGCAAGGGACTTGGCTTCGTCTGCCTCGGTGCGGTCTAGCACAGCTCTGTACACTCTGGCCACAACCCCGCCATCTGTCTAGGCTGCTGCTTCCAGCGGGACAGAAAGGGGCAAGGCGAAAAGCACAGTTGTCCTCAGGTTGTGTGTGTCACAGAACCACCATCAGCCTGGGCGGGATGGGGGGTGGGGGATGGCACGGGGCCTGGGGATGCTCGAGTTGAAATACCTGACCTGCAGTCAGGTGGAAGAAGGGGGTGGGGTCGGCTTGGGGCTCCCGAGCTGGGGCCTGGGTTGGGAGGCAGCTGCAGCCTAGGCTGCTGGAGTGTGCCCTGGCCAGGATGCAGGCGCGCAGGAGGTGGCAGAAGGATGGGCATTAGCACCCAGAGCGTCTGCTGGGGAAGGTGAAACTGCGCTCTGCCAGGCACGAAGAGGCCCTAGGGGTGTGAGCTGGGAGGACCCCTGAGTGGGCCTTTCCTCCGCTCTCCCTTTTGCCCTGTGAAAACCAAAATGATCAGATCCCGGGCTCACAGGGCACACACCACTGGGGAGGGCCTGGGCCGCCCTGGGAAACTAACTCATCTATGGCTGCTCTGGGGCTTCTGCATCCCTCTGCATACTCTTGGAGCCCTGGGCCCAGTCTTCTGTGTGCAAGGTAAGAAGTGTCAGATTCAATGACTTTGTGCACAGTGAAAGGGTACTTTTTGTCCCTTCTGTCTGAATCCCGGGTAGGAAGTGGCACCTGTAGGCTTGGTGGAGTCATACACAGAATGCTAATCATGACCTACTGGAACCCCAATGGCTCTTTATCACCAATACCCTGCCATGGTGACTTGACAACTCTTGGCAACCTGTGTCTCCATCCCTATTTTCTATTCCCCCTTTACCCTGGTTAAACACATCTGCCTCTTTCCTGTCCCTACTTCACACCCTGCCCATGCTTCCCATCTGCCTGGAGGGCTTGCCTTTCCCTCTGTTCACTTGGGGAACTCCTACTCAGCCTTCAAGACCAGCTCAGGGCTATGGGCAGAAGCAAAACATTAGTTCTAGCCTTAAATTTATTTTATCCACCCGGGCATCCATCCATCCATCTATCCATCCATCCATCCATCTATCTATCTATCTATCTATCATCCATCCATCCATCTATCTATCATGTGTGTTTGTATGCACATGCCACAGAGCATGTGTGGAAGTCAGAGGACAACTTGCCAGAACTGGTTGTCTTCTACCCTACCATGTGGGTCCTGGGGTTCCAACTCTGGTCATCAGACTTGGAGGCAGGGGCCTTTACTGGCTGAACCATCAAACCCATGTTTTTCTTTCTTTCTTTCTTTTTTTAAAGACCCCCTCCCCCAACAGGGTTTCCCTGTGTTGCCCTGGCTGTCCTGGAACTCCTTCTATAGACCAGGCTGACCTTGAACTCAGATCCACCTGTCTCTGCCTCCTGAGTGCTGGGATTAAAGGCATGTGCCACCACTGCCCGGCTGTGACTTATTTTTAATTATGTGTCTGTGTGTGCAGGTACTGGCAGAGGCCAGAGGTATCAGAACTCCTGGAGCTGGGGTTGCAGGTGGCTGTAAGCCATCCCAGGGAGTGCTGGGCTCCGGTCTTCTGCAAGTGGGGTACTGCTCTTAACCAACAGGTGAGCCATCGCCCCAGCTCCTGACTCTAGTCTACTATTATTTTAACATAACTAAGTTATAAGGCAGGGAATCTGAACAGTTGATGGCGTAGGCCTTTCTCTTCTGCCTTTCCATTAAATCCATTCAACACCCAGAATCAGGGGAGGCTCAGCCTAACTTTGAAGGACAAAGCCAAGACCTCTGGGGGGGGGGGGAGGAGGCTGAGGAGTCTAAGATTTTGGGGGTGGGCAGCCGCGGGGGCCATTTGCACTTGAGTTTCCAGCTTGCAAATTAGGAGCATAGCTTATGCCTATTCCTGGGCTTTTTCTTGCTCCAGCAAGCTATAGCTCAAAAGAGAGTGGGGCTCAGTGACTATGCGCTGAGCCTGAGGGCAGGAGGTGATGCTGGGCTCTGCGCATCGGCTCCCGGCCATACCCATTCTTTCTACCTGGCTCTGGGATCTGGTCATCGGCTCCCGGCCATACCCATTCTTTCTACCTGGCTCTGGGATCTGGTCATCGGCTCCCGGCCACACCCATTCTTTCTACCTGGCTCTGGGATCTGGTCCTCACTTTCCATCGCTGCTTCAGCACTTCTGCCTCTTTATCCTCCGCACAGCCTTGCTCACGGCATCAGCTCCTTATCCTCCAGAAACGAGGCTGACGCTCCACGGCCTAACCTGCCCTGGGCTGTGTCCATTGTGTCTGCTTGTGTCATTCTCGTCCCACCTGCCACGGACAGTCCAGTGAGCTTTGTGGAGTTTTCCATGTGGACTGTCTGGACCCCAGGCTTGCACACACACCGACCCTCTTTTGTTCTTGCCAGATGCTTGCCCATCAGAATGCCAAGTCTAGGCTTCACTTGCTCTAGGAAGACGTCGATGACAAGGTTATGCTTTCTGAGCTTCTGTGAACTCCTGTGAACTCTCCACCGTACTCTCTCACATCTCGGGTGACTCAGTTTACCTGACTCTAAAGTTTATCAGTTTATCATCAGACTCAAAAGCAGCACTGTCTAACAAATTTGACGTGAACCACAAATGCAATGTTCTAGAAGCCATGTAAGAAAAATAAAATGAGAGGCCAGAGAGATGGCTCAGTGAGTAAAAGCACCAGCTGTGCGAGTCCGACAACCTGAGTTCAATCCCCAGATGCACACATCTGTAATCTCAGCACTCCCATGGCAAGGTGGGAGGCGGAGGCAGAATCGTCTGGAAGCTCGATGCCCAGCTAGCATGGAGTATGCAGTGCAGGCTGCGAACAAGAATGGAAGGAGAAGATGCACTCCTGACCCACATGCTCACCCTGGCATGCACACGCCTGCTCTCTCTCTCTCTCTCTCTCTCTCTCTCTCTCTCTCTCTCTCTTTCTCTTCCTCTCTTTCTCTCTTTCTCATATACACACACAATTTTTAATTTTTATATTTATTTTTTGGTTTTTAGAGACTGGGTTTTTATGTTTGTTTGTGTGTGTGTGTGTGTGTGTGTGTGTGTGTGTGTGTGTGTGTGT